ATGAACATATTTGATTAAGCTTTCGCTCAGCAAGTAGGAACTATATCTCACAAAATAACTGTAAGTACACATGAATAAATATGCATGAGCTGATTATGCTTAATTATGATGTCTTATCATAATCTTATTATCTTATCCTATCTTTCTTACTGATGGGCCCGAGTGCTCACGTACCACTGGTGCGCAATCATCAGAACGTGAGGGTTTGCAAGGTCCCCCACGACACCGTGATTATAACTTGAATGCCTCCCTTGAGTCGAAGGACATTATTGTTATTTTTTTTTCTCCCTTGTGGAGCTGGAGTTACCTCCCTTATTTACCTATTCGAATACAATTTTCAAATTGGAAATTATTCACAAAATTAAGATTATTCACAAAATTAAGATTATTGTATTGTGTATGCCAAATAAAAAAAAAAAAATGAATAACATTATTATTATTGATCAATAAAAAAATCTAGCAAAGCAATAAGGGCCGGTGGGGGGGAAGATTTCATTTTATGATAAAAAAGTCATTCATCTCGGTTATTTCACACGAAGAAAAAGAAAAAAACAGGGGGTCTGTTACATTTCAAATACTAAGCCTCACTAATAGGATACGAAAACTTTCTTCACATTTGGAATTGCACAGAAAAGACTATTTATCTCAGAGAGGCCTCCGTAAAATTTTGGGAAAACGCCAAAGGATGCTGTCTTATTTGTCAAAGAACAATAGAATACGTTATAAAGAATTAATTAATCAGTTAGATATTCGGGAATCAAAAATGCGTTAATTTGAATTTGAGGAAGCGTTTTGAATTATTGAATTATTTGATTTATTAGATCTTGATTTTTTTTTATTTTAATGAACTTATTTTCGCTTTTCAGTAATTCATGAAAGAATCAATCGAGGAAAAAGAAAAACCTATGAATATACCAGCTCCAAGAAAAGACCTCATGATAGTAAATATGGGTCCCCACCACCCATCAATGCATGGTGTTCTTCGACTCATCGTTACTCTCGATGGTGAAGATGTTATTGACTGTGAACCAATATTAGGCTATTTACACCGAGGAATGGAAAAAATTGCGGAAAACCGAACAATTATACAATATCTGCCTTATGTAACGCGTTGGGATTATTTAGCTACTATGTTCACAGAAGCAATAACCATAAATGGACCGGAGTTGTTGGGAAATATCCAAGTGCCTAAAAGAGCCAGCTATATCAGAGCAATTATGTTGGAGTTGAGCCGTATAGCTTCTCATCTCGGCCTCTAAAGGCCCCGTTTGGCTGAAAGCCGTAGCTGTTGTTTTTCTTGAAACTGTTTTAGTCAAAAACTGTGCCGTTTCGGGAATCTGTGTTTTAGTACCTCTTAGGGTCGGATTTTGAAAATCTTTTCTTCATCAAATTTCTTCATCTCGTCGAAATATAAAATTGTCACTTTTGTGAAAAATCGAGATTCAGCTTCTAAGGGTCCCGTTTGGCTGAACCAGTGGCTGCCAGTTTTTTTTTCGAAACTGTGTTGGACAGCTTGTCCGTTTTTGCCAAATGGCTTCAAACTTGGTTTTAGAGTTAAAATTAGGTTTTGTCATAGTAACCGAAAATGTTCAAAACATCCAGGGCTATAAGTTCAAGCTTTAAAACATTAAAAACTCTCGCTCTATGGTCCTCATTTTCGCGGTCAAAGTCACCGGAAAATTTTTCCTCTAATTTGAAAATAAGCAACTTAGATTAAGCATAAACATACCACATCAAACTAACCTCAAAACTCACAAAACCAACATAAAACTCACACACCCTTATTACAATCTTATCTCTTCAAGAACCACAAATTTACATCCATAAATCCAAGCTTAAAGTTGGCTAGAAATTAATGGAGGGGAGTTTAAGAACTTTCCCTTGAAGAATTCTCTCTTTCTCTTGAAAAACCCTTGAACTCCTCTAGGATTGTTAATGGCTTGAAACTATAAGAGTATAAGGAAATTTGAGAAGAATATTTCTCTATTTCAAACTTTCCCAAAACATGAAAAAGAGAGGATTTAGAGTTTCTTTACCCTTAGAGGAATGCTTGACTAGTCTCCTCCTAGAATCCCTTAATCTCCTTCTTCTTCTTCTATGGTGTGCTAGTGGCTCAAGATTTGGAGAGTGGGAGAAAATATTTGAGAGGAAATGGAGAGTGTGTGGCCGGATTTTTGAGTGGGGAAAAAGCTAGGAGAAAAAAAATGAAGCTTATCCTATGTTGGTTCCTTTTATAGGCAACTTGGAAACTATTTTTTTAACACCAATTCCACTCCATCATTCAACCAAATTTTTGGTTAAAGTCCCCCTTTCTTGGCCGGTTTTGGAAGGAGAAAAGGAGAAGCAAATTTGCCATTAATTTCCTTTCAACCACTATAATCACATCACCTTAACATGTCATCAACTTGCACACTCAACTAGCTAATTTTGGCTCTATTTTTTTTTTGCATGGCCGGTGGTGTGCTTCAAGAAGGAAGTGTGGTAAGCATTTATGTCCAATAGTTGATTTGACACAATCCCATCACACCTTATCATGTAATCCCCTAGCACACTCAACTAGCCAATTTTGGCTCTAATTTTTCTATGCATGGCCGGCCAAAGTGGAGAAGGAGAGAGAGAAAAATAAATCCTACCCCTTGTACTTTAGTCCACTCTCTTAAGTTACCTTTGAATCAGGTAAAAATCATACTGACTGTAAAGGGTACTTAGCTGACAGGAAATTCTTGTTTCTGACAGTTCTCTTTTTTTTCTACTACTTATTTACAGTTCAACTTTTAAATCCTCGTCTGCTTTGATATCACGTTAAATTCTTACTCGCGTAATATCTTAAACTGTTTCAAGTCTTGAAATTAATTCTAGACTGAATAAATTCTAAATTTAACTTTTCTGCATTATATCCCGGGAGTGACATTATTTCTGACGGTGTCAACTCCTTAGCTCACATTGTACCCTTCTACTATAGGTATCTATCTTGTGACTTTAACCTAGCTGTCTGGCAATTAAGGATTTTCTCTTCTTTAAAAATGTCAGTGCGTTTTTTTTTTACGCTGCTAACATCATGCTGTGTTTGGAGATTCTTGAAATTAAGATTCTCAAACTATACTTGTACTGAAAATTATTCCGCCTTAAAGTACGGCAAGAATTTATCGATCGAATTTACTTGATCGAAAACATGAACTTAACATGAAATCTGCTACAGAATTTAGGAATACATATATTGATTTCATAAATCCTTCAGTCACATAATATTTTCTAGGAAAATCCTTAGCTTAAATAAATAAATTGTATTATTTAAAATTTAGAATTTTCTCAGTCATTACACTCTTTTTGTATTCTCTATTCTTTTCATCCTCTCAATTCTGAATTTCTCCAATAGAATGTATCTTAGATATTTCACTTCCACAATGACATCAAAGTCATTATCATTGGCTCTGGTCTTTATTCCATCAATTGGCTCTTAACACAGGGTTCGTTTCCTATGACACAATCAATCTCAACAATAAGTGGACGCAAAAGTGGTTGGCTCTTAAAAGTCTATGAAATAACGAGATGACCAAACGCACTCCGACAGCCCAAAGTCAACTTTTGAATTAATGAAAAAGCAATAACTACGTGATAATTGACGTTTAGTTCATGTATTTAAAATTATTTTTATTTTATGTGTATTTTTTATAAAAAAAAAAATATTATAAAAAATTATAAATCATGATTCAAAATTATTGACGAATACAAGAATCATGCGTCCAAAATTGTTCTTATATTTGATTATGAACATGTTATTTCAGTCAGAAAAAGAAAGAGGAGCCGTAAAACCAACAATTTCCACTACGAGGGAAAAAAAAAAAAAACCAACAATTTCCACAGAGCATTAAATTCTCTATAGTACATGCTGAACAAGTATAAAAACTTTTTAGCAGGTAAATACCAGACCCTGTCAATATCTGAAGGGTAATACGTGACATAATTTTCAGCAATTATAGCAACTATGACCGAAATTTTTTTTTTTTTTTTAAATTCCCCCTAGGAAGAAAGACATCCTTGAGAATTAGGACCTCGCCAACCAGGGGTGAAGTACAAAGTATATTCTCATTCTGGCTAAAAAATACAAGATTATATTTGGAAAAGTCAAAATTGACACTTCTGGCCTAACATCGAGAATTACAATATACAAAATAAACATTTATAAGCAAGACCTATAGCTCCTCAAATTGTGGAAACCCAACAAGTTTAACCGTTGGAGTGGTGTTAGCATTGAGGACTGGTGGCATAATGAGCAATTCCGTGTCATTGGTGGTGTCTCCGCTCACCTTTTTGCTGCCTTCCATGGTCTCCTTGAAGTCATGGCTGGAGTTGACACAAACTCTACTGTAATGAGAAGCAGGTCTCCTACCATTGTTGTCATTTAGTCGATTCTTCTCGCTTTGATTTTCATGGTGATTTGGGTCAGCATTGATCCTTCCTTGCCAAAGCAAACTGAACCATTATTTTTGCTCAAAATTAATTTGTTTCATTAATCACGCCCCTAAAAAAAAAAGAAAGAATGGCTGCGTTTTCGATTGCATTGCTATAGGTTTACACTACAGTTACATAATTAATACAATATCGTCACCCATAATCATTAAATGTTACTTTGCAGTTTACTTTCAGATTTGCATCAAAGTCAGGAATGTGCATTGGCTCACGTTTGTGTCACCTCAATTGGCTCTTCACACAAAAATGTTCATTTCCTATGTTACAATCTCATAAAGAAATCTAGTTTGCGGAAAAAACGAAATCTGTGGATATGAAGCAAAAGTGGTTGGGTGTCTATTAAATATAATGAGATAACCAGAATTAGAAGCAGAGAACACTCATTCCAACAATTGAAAGTCAACTTTTGAATTAAAGAAAAAGCAATAATCACAGGATACGTTAGTTTTCAAAGTTGTTCTAGTATTTGATTATGAACATATTGTATCAGTATCAGAGAGAAAAAGAGAGAGTAGCTGTAAAACCAACAATTTCCACAGAATTAAACGCGGTTTATGTATAGCACATGCTGAAGAAGTATCAAAACTTATAAGCAGGTCAATATTAGACCCTGCCAACATCTAAAGACTAGTACATGACATAATTTTCCTTACTTATAGAATCTCTCACCAAAGTTTTTGTCCATAGCGAAAAAAGTGCCAACCTTATTATTCATTCTAGCTATACAAGCATATATTTGGAGACTCAAAATTCATACTCTTCTTGATTAAACATTGAGTAAAACAATATACAAACAACTATAAACAATTATAAGCAAGACCTATAGCTCCTTAAATTGTGGAAAAATCCAACAACTCAAAATTTCCTCTACTTCTGATGACCTGTCAACTTGTTGATGGTTATGGAGGCAAATGGTTCTGACAGGTAAGGCTGAGTGCGAGCCGATAGTTCCTGCACCACGAAACGCATGTGCGGCCGCCCGTCTGGATTGGTGCGCACGCACATCAATGCCACGGAAGCCATGAAAACCACTGCCTCCGCTAGTTCACCCTCCGGGGGCTCCAGCCTTTGGTCTAACATATCCTTGAGAAGCAATTCCTTATCATTTGATGACATTCTTGATGATACAGATAGAGATTCTAGCATTTCCCCAGGGTGCCTTCCCATCATTACTTCCAATGCCACAACTCCAAAACTGTACACATCACTCTTGTCTGTTACCCTCATTGTCTGTGCCAACTCTGTTTTTTAGATAAAAAAATTCACACAAAGTCATCTTATTAAAGAACACGCATCAAGCAAAATCGGCATGACTTGAAATATAGTTGCAACCGCACACCTATGATTCAATATGCTAATAAATGGTTCAAAATATGTACTTTAATGACACTTTTATGTACAATGAATAGGAATTGGGTATTTCATTTTTTACTTGCAGCTTCAGGAGTCAACATTAGCTTCTTCTTTGTTTTAAGTGAATTTACTGATTTTGAGAGAACAGACTCAGGAATCCAATTTCCTTTCTTGTTGATTTGGACAAAATAAGGGTCCGTTCACTTCGCTTATTCGAGTTTGTAATTCGAGTTGAGATGTGATTTTGTGTGAGAGCTTTTTACTGTAGCAAAAAAGTTAGATGTGATTGTTTCTGAGAGCTTTTTACTGTAGCAAAACTTGAATTCTAAACTCGGTGAAATGAACATGGCCAACACATCAGCATACATATTCCCAAACTAACAGTAAAAAGAAGCATTGAATAATAAATACACCTAGATAGTTTGATTGAGAATGATATGGTTCATGAGCAATGTTGGAAATCTTTACCCCAAAACAAAAAAAGAAGCTATTAATAAACAAAATGACAATTTATGTACCATATCACTTAGAAAAAAAAAATAGTATAACAGCTACTAATAAAAAAAATAACAATTTATCTACCACATCACTTAGGAAAAAAAAAATAGTATAACAGTTTTTATTTATTTTTTATTTTTTATTTTTTTACAAGAATTGATCTTTTAAAATCACTCGGGACTTACTTTTGGCAAAAGGTATCGATCCTTTTTTTCCCCTTATTCGTGAAAATAGCTTAGACTATTCGATATAACGCTTGAATCATTATTTATACCAAAAACAAGATTAAATCCTATTAAATGTTTAATCCCCAGTTTTCCTCCTCCCATCAGTAAAAAAAGAGTTATCAATATAAACCATCATAAAACTTCAACCAAAAATCTAATAAATAAAAATTAAACCGTCAAAAACATTAAAAAAATAAAAATAAATAAAAAAATGTAAACTTTACCTGGGGCCATGTATCCGTAGGACCCAGCGACATTGGTCCAATTGGAGGAGTCAGGGCTGAGCAATCTGGCGGTGCCGAAGTCAGAAAGCTTGGGCTCGAAATCCCACTCCAGCAGCACATTGTTGAGGGACACGTCCCGGTGAACGATCGCCGGCGAGCAGTCGTGGTGCAAGTACGCCAGCGCGTGGGCCAGCCCCTGCACTATCTTCATCCTCGTCCCCCACCCAAGCTCCTCGCTCTCCAATCCGTACAGCACCTTCGCCAAACTCCCCCTCGGCACAAACTCGTACACCAGGTACATACACCCTCTCCGGGAACAGAATCCGTACAGCTTGATGATGTTCCGGTGCCGGACCTCCGTCAGGGTCTTGATCTCGTTCTGGAAGCTTAGCCGGTTCAGCTTCGGGATGTCGTCGGAGTCCGTCACGTTCAGGAGTTTGACGGCGACGGCGAGTCCGGATGTGAGCAACGCCTTGTAGACGCTCCCGAAACCACCTTTTCCGATGCAGAATTTCTCGTCGAAATCATCTGTGGTCTTCACGATCTCTCGGAAGGTGAATTTCCCTTCTTTCTCCCAGATCATGGATTCGTGGTGGCCATCGTACCTGTTCGATCTCCTCTCCTCGTCGTCGAGGAGTTTAGATTTGTTCCGCAGTGTGAGGACGATGAAAGTGACGCTGGCGAAGATGATTATGGCACAGACGGGGACCAGAACGCCGATTAGGATCTTTGTGGTTTTATTGCTTGATGATTTGTTGTCTGAGGATTTAGTGCAAGGATCAAGACCTTCGATGTTTCCACACAGATTGGGGTTTCCAAGAAAGGCATTTGCGGATTTGTTGCCGAAGGCGAGTCCGGTGGGGATTGGACCGGTCAGGTTGTTGTAGGAGAAGTCGACGGAGGTTAGACTATTCATGTTGGAAAACGACGCCGGAATTTTGCCGGTGAGGTGATTGTGCGAGAGGTTGAGAATCTCTAACTTGTTGAGCTTGACAAGGTTTGAGGGGATTTGGCCGGAGAGATTGTTGCTGCTCAGGTCCAACATGTACCGCAAATTTTCTAAGTTTCCGAGCTCTTGAGGTATTTCACCTGATAGAATGTTGTGGCTGAGGTTCAGGCTTGATAATTTATTGTAATTCTCCATCCATTTTGGTATTCTCCCTGTGATGTTGTTCGCTGAGAGATCGAGAGTGTCAAGGCTGGTTAGACTGGAGAGAGCTTGAGGGATTTGCCCAGCCAAGTGATTGTTGCTGAGGGTGAGCGTGAACAGTTTGCGTAGATTTCCCAATTGGGTTGGAATTTCCCCTGTCAAGTCATTGGAATCGAGCCTCAATTTTTGCAACTCAGTCAGTGTTCCTAGCTCAGGTGGAATTTCACCACCAATTTTGTTTCTGTCCATCTCCATGTCGGTGAGATTTTTGCATTTTCCCCACTGACTTGACAATTGACCAACAAATTGGTTGTCACTAGCGTAGATTAACGTAAGACTTCCATGAAGACCAAATGCATTTGTAATGTTTCCGCTGAACTTGTTCTTGTCAAGCCGCACTCGGCCTAATCTTGAGCAGTTTCTCAAGCACTCAGGCAATGACCCTGTGAAGCTGTTGTTGTTTACTGTCAATGTCTCCAGAGAAAATCCGCTACACAATTCTGGTGGCAGTTCTCCAGAGAAGGTGTTGTTGGAAAAGCTTACAACTGTCAAGTTAGGACTATTCTTTCCAAAATCACGGGGAATTCTTCCTGACAAATTATTTGTGAACACTGAGATAATCTGTAAGTTAGTGAGGCTAGAAATAGCATCCGGCAATTCTCCCGACAATTGGTTGGAGTTGACATCAAAGTTTGTTAGGGCCACCAAATTTCCAATCTCCCGAGGAATTGTACCTTCAAGTTTGTTGTAGAAAAGTTGCATAGACTGGAGCTTTGTGAGATTCCACAGTGTAATTGGAATTGGACCTGAGAGGTTGTTTCCTGAGAGGTCTAGGTTCATCAAGTTCTTCAAGTTTCCTATCTCAGAGGGAATTGGGCCAGAGAAGTCATTTTGGTAAAGAAAAAGGTATTGAAGGTTCGTCAACTTCTCGATTTCTGGTGGAATTTGCCCATTGAAGCTATTGTTTTGAAGCTGTAAAGAGATCAGTGCAGTCCAGTTGCTAAACAGGTCAGGAGAAAGGGGACCAGAAAGGAAATTATCAGATAAACCAAGTTGGGCAACGTTGCTCAACTTGTTTAGTGACGAAGGAAGTTCATGACGGAGTTGATTCTCAGCAAGAGCCAAAAAGGTAAGGTTAGAACAAAATCCAAGCTCTGAAGGGATTGAAGCGTTCAAGAAATTTTTGTGAAGGTCAAGGGAGGATAGCGACCTGAGGTTGCCTATTGAAGAAGGTATTTTTCCTTGTAAGGAATTTTGATACAGTTCAACAGTTTCAAGACCAGTTATGGAACCAATCTCATCTGGAATTTGACCACCAAACGGGTTAATTGCTATGCGGAGGTGCTTGAGATTGGAAAGCTTTGAAATGTTTGGTGACAAGGGTCCCTCAAATTGGTTACTAGTGAGATTGAGATATTCGAGCTTGCCTAGATTGGTAAATACAGGTTCTGGTATTGGGCCGGAGAAATTGTTTTGAGAGAGGTCAAGGAACGTTAAGTTCCCGCACTTTGATATGAAATCTGGGAATTCTCCGGCAAGGAAATTCAAATAAAGATCAAGATACGTTAACAAAGGCATGCCTGAAAACCTAGACCAGTCAGAATTGTTCAAGTAGTTTGCGCCAAGGTCCAAGTACCATACCTTTTGCAGAGTGCCCAGTTGATAAGGGATGCTGTCGTTGAGATAGTTGTTGTGAAGATTCAGAAACTGAAGCTCTGTTAATTGGCTGATCTCCACAGGTATTTCTCCCACAATATCGTTGTCACTCAGGTCCAACAAAGTGAGCCTTGACAAGTTACCAATGGCCGGCGGAATTGTCCCGACGAGATTGTTCTTGTTGAGGTTGAAAACAGTGATGTTAACAAACGGTGTGAAGTTAAACTGGTCTAGTGTTCCCGTCAGCTCCGAGTCGGGGAGGTTTATTTCGGAGACTTCTCCGTAACAAACGGTGTGAAGTTAAACTGGTCTAGTGTTCCCGTCAGCTCCGAGCCGGAGAGGTTTATTTCGGAGACTTCTCCCGTGGAGTTGTCGCAGACAATGGAAGTCCAGTTGCAGAGATTGTTGACGTTGCTGAGAGACCACGAATTCAGAGAAGATGGTGAGGAAGTCAGGCTGTTCTTCCATTTGACCAGGGCTTCCGCTTGTGTTCTTGGCGAGGAAGTGATCTTGAGGGGAAGCAAGGTAAGCAAGAGGATACCAAAGAGAAGAGAAAAGGCAGTTTTTTGAACTGTTTTCATCTTGTTGACTTCCTTTTGGCCAAGGTTTGATCTGGATGATCTGGTTTCACTCCCTTATAAGAAGATATACATTACAGTTTTAAGGCACTGCTGTAACGTATATTATTATTATTTGTTTTTTTTTTTTTTGGGTTTTCTCTCGTGGCAGAGCTCTTTCAAACTCTGTTAAAACAGAGTTGCTTACAAGTAATGGGAAGCTGTTGGTATTCAACTGAGAAAATTAAGGCTGAAAACGACAATCGCAAAAGCGATGTGGGCCAATGTTTGAATACAAGCAACAACTTGGCAACGTACAAGCCAGAAAGCTAATTGAAGACGCGCTTACCATCAACATTTACGGCATATTGACCCTTATTAGATTACGTGTAATAATATAATAATATAATATTTAGTGTAATTATTATATTTTATAAATTAATACGGTCTATATTGTATTATTAAATACGGATCATTTTTAACGTATTATATTGTATTATTTTATAGTGAATTAATAATTTATATTGATATTGAACACAATTAGAGGTTATAGTCACGACGGAATTTATAATTGTTAAAAAATTTAAGGGACACAATGTAAATTTTATATTTATTAAATTATATTTTAATCCTAAAACTTTTATAAAATTACACTTTGACTTTAAAATTTTTATAAAATTTCATTTTTGACCCTAAAATTTTTGAAAAATTATATTTTGATCCTAAACTTTTGAAAAATGATATTTTAACCTTAAAATTATTTTTTACATTTTGATTCTTTATACAATACGTCGTGAAATTAAACACCGTATTGTAGTATAATAATATAACATAATATAATGCATTTTATACAATATAATATAAGCTATTAAACATGACCTTGTGGTATTGAATATTCCTTTTTCATACTTCAAAGACCGTGAAGAAACCACGTGATGCAAAGGAAAATCAGCCTGCATTTTCTGTGTAAGGTTCCGAGTCTTCTGACCACTATATCCAATTTTAATTGCTACATAGAAGTAAGCACCAACCCCAACTCAAGCCTTATATTCTTCTTTTCATATTAGGGATTTCCACAAAAATTATCTTGACTTACGAGAGCTTTAGAAAAACAAGTCTATTTATATAAATAAAAAATAAATAATGTATAAAATTAGGTACTGAGGAAGAAAAGTCGAGGTTTTTTTTCCATTGATGGACCTAACATTAAAATAGTATCATCAAAATGATATTAAAATGAAACGGATATCATATTATAGGGGTATAAAGTATAAATAAATGGGGGAGCTGCATATTTTATACCATGGAGCAGGGAAGAACCCTTTTTAAGTCTTTTTCTTTTTTCTTTTAAAATTTTATCATTTCGCCCGGCTCCATTGCTTCATCCAAATTAGTGTTGTATATGGTGCTTCAGAAACAACAGAAAAAAAACAGAATCACAAATATGGAACGAGGGGGAAATATTTATTACAGTGCATCCCCTATTAGAAATGGGTTATGATTGGTGTGTTTGAATGCAATTGTGACCACACTTTATTGACTTTTAAAACCCAAAACAAAAAACACAAACAAAAAAACGACATTTTGGAGTGTTCAATATTTTTATGCTGACAGCGAGAAGCCTTTCACTATCAAATGACAATATACAAGAAATCAACCCAGGATGTATTTCATAGCCAGACCCCATCTAGATCTAGTAGTTGTCCGTACACGCTTCAAGTTCAGAAGTGAAACTCACGTTGTCGTTGAATTATGATGATTTTGTTTTTCAATATGACCAAGTAATAACTAGTTTGGCACAAAGCTTATTCAGTAATGAATGATGTGGGACGCTCCTTTTGACTAAGTTCGGGTTCTTTGTAAAAGGTATTAAAGACTTTTGATTGTTTTGGGATTTAAAGACTTTTATTTTGCACGTATAATTGTAACGAATGATGTAAATATTGTTAATAAATATACTAGTGAGGAAATGTCTGAGCCTAAGAATTTATAGAACTTGAATCTCGTGAGCTCTTAAGACTGACATTGCTTAGAAAAACTCTTCAGTAGTAAAAATTGAATTTGGAATTTTAGATTATAAATTGAAGAGTTCGAATTTTGAGTAATATGTAGATGATTTAAATTTCCCACCTGTTTTAATTTGTAATTGCTTCCCATAATGAATTGCACAATTAAAATTGACATGTCTCATTTCTTTCAATGGAACAACGCCATTCAGGAATATATATATATATATATATATATATATATATATATATTACCGAGACCGACACTGTTTTGTCTAATGCAAAACACGGCGTTTGGTTTCCTTTAATTTTTTAATAATAGTCGACGACATCAATTTAATTCGTCGTTTGAGAAAAACGACCATTTGCATAAAAAAACATGTCGACTAAGTATTAAAAAAAAAAAAAAAAAAAAAAACCGACTACGAAATAACGGCGTTTCTGAAACGACACTGAACGTAGAAGTGTCATTTCCTACAAAGAGACGTTATTGGTTATAATCTCATTTCTGTAATAAACGATTCATCCTGTCATACATAAACAAAAAATATCTCGTTTTATGTTGAAGAAGGAATGAATTTGAATGCAAATGATATATCGGCCGTGTTTGGAATTGATCACGTTTTTATTTTTTATGTTTTTTGAGAAAGAAAAAATAAAAACGTTTCTAAAATGACGTTTGGCGCAATAAAAATAAAAAACATAAATTAAAATGATTTTTTGGTTTAGTGTAAAATGAGAGAGAAATGAAAAACGACTTTTAGTCGTTTTTCATTTTTTATTTTCATTTTCACCTCTCTCGAGCAGAGAGAAAAAGATAGAGACATTAATGAGTTTTTTATACTGAAAATAATATCTTGATAAAACTATCAAACACATTTTTAAAAATAATTTCTGTCTTAAATTAAAAACATTTTCATTTTTATTTTCATTTTCATATAAAAAATAAAATTATTTTAAAATAAGTTATAAACACGCTCATTATTTTTTCTCAGTAAATAAAGACTTTCACACCGTGTTTGATTTACGAATAAACAATCAATGATAAGGATAATGAAATAGACCATAATTTTTTTGGTAGAACAGTAGAATCATTACGACCCCATGTATATCATAGAAAATCCGTTCTCCTATCTTGACGCATTCCATATGGTGTAATAGCTGAATTGACAAGTCCACTGACTTTAAATCAAGCTTTTGATTTCAAAACTAATAAATGTGCATTGTGGAAAATGTTTCTGAAAGTGTAATCTATTCAAAAAAGCGACCAATTATATGTTCATCATGGCTCAACTAGATATTTCATTTTTTTAGTTTATAGCAGCTTGACTAAGGTGTTCTGTATGTATTTTTTATTGTAAACACCTAAAAAAATTATTATTTACCGAAGATAAATTTATTTATACAACTATTTAAGAATTTTTTTTGTTAAATTTATTTTAAAAAAATAAATATGTATAAAGATAACCTTTAAAATAATAAGAATTACACGGAAAGTAATTAACTATGGACACATTTAAATAAAGTTATTTTAACCATGGACAAAAAGTAAAATAAGAATACGTGAAAAAATCACTTTCATAAGAGTAAAGTGAGAAAAAATATATATTTTTAAAAAACACAAGAAATATTAAAATATAAAAAACATTAAAAAAATAATTTAAAAATAAAAAAGTAAAGAAATGAAAAAAAAAAGAAGTAAAAAGAGGGACTGTCACATAGAAAAGAGTTCTTACTCTTTTATATTTGTTAAATTAAATTATATTAAATAGAAAAAGATCTTTTTATTTTGACTATATCAAACTGTTAGAAACTGCTCTCACGATAAAGAATTCTCATCATAGAAAGTTCTAAAAAGAGAAAAACACAAAAAGAATGCCAAATGAAGATTGAAAAAAAAGAGTATTAAAAAGGGTATTTTTATTTTAATCATATCTGACGGTTAGAAAACTGATCTCAACGATAAAGAGATTCTATCAGAGAAAATATTAAAAAAAAATGAAAACACAAAAAGAAAGTCAAATAAAGATAAAAAATAATAAAATAAAAGAGTAACAGTAAAAAAAATAAGAAAAAAAATAGTAATAAAAAGAGCACTCTTCTCTCATGCCGTCGCGTGGCAACATGAGCGAAGAGAGTCTTTTTAACTGTTTTTATTATGTATAGATATAGATTATGTATAGATTATTTGTGAGAGTGATCCTGGTTTAGGAATTATTTGAAAGTTATACTTAAACTTAAATTATGATTTTGTTATAGAATTTTTTATGTCAAAGAGTTTGAATTTCAAAATTACTCTCTCATAAAGTTTCCATCAATGAACCCAAACATCTTTTTAGTATACCTTTCAAACGGTCATTTAACTAAAAGATATTTTTACAAACCAATTAATACTTAGGAGATTCTCTGATACACCCGGCGTATCAGTAGGTCTTTTCTAACTGTTATATCTGTGTATTTTTTAATGTTTACGTGTTTTTATGTAAATTTAACGGACAAAAAATTTAATCTATCGATATGTTGACGTATAAAAAAAAAGTCTCTTAATACTTTACTTTATAATTTATATAAAACAGACAATGACAGTGGGGTCCGTAAACTGGATATGCCCTTTAAAATTTTCCAATGAGATTAGGTTGAGTAAAGTGTTCATGATTTAAAAGAAAACCCACTAACTATACTAAAAATATTAATGTATTCTCAATCGATTTCGTTGGTATGAAATTTTTAAAAAGATTACATCAAACAAATTAATTATAAAAGGTTTGATCGTTTTGAAATTTTTAAGAGAGATTACATAAAATCACATCATTTATATATAAGAGGTTTGATCGGTTTAAACTTATAATTATATTACATGTGAAAAATTTAAATCAATCCAGTTAAAAATTTTACTATAAATTATAAAACCTTAAAAATAATATTATTAAGTTATAAAAAAGATAAGATGTACGAAGACAGAGAGAAAAAGATAAGTATATATTTTTTTTAAGAAAGAACTTTCTAAAAGAATCTAATAGTTAATTTTACAAGACCGAGTTTTACATGTTAGGATTTATTTTATTCAAAGTTATAAGTCGATCAAATCATTTACATATTAATGGTTTGATTGGCTTTTTTAAAAAATTTTAAATTGGCAAAATCGTTCATAAACAAAATGTATATTATCTTTAGTTTAATCGGTGGTTACCGAATTCACTAACACTCTAATAGTTTTTTAGTGTTTTAAAAAGAGTTTATTAAAGAGAAAGACTAATCGAGTTAAAAGAAATTAAGTAGACGTTTGGTTCATAAATTTAGACCATGTTTATTTCACCGATTCGAGTTTAGAATTTGAGTGTTGCTACAGTAAAAAGTTATCAGAAACAGTCACATCTA